CGTCTGTCTTGGGCTCAGGACATCATGATCCCGCAGTCCGGGACTGGGCTGCATCTAGGGCTCCCTGCTCAGCAGGGAGTCTGCTTCTCCTTTTCCCTCTAACCCCTGCCCCCAGCCCCCGCTCGTGCTCACTCACTCTCTCGGTCTCTCAAATAAATAAATAAAATCTTAAAAAAAAAAAAAAAACCTGTAAGTACTAGCAAAGCTGCTGCAGCCACTGAGAATTTATTAAAGAAAAGTTCATATCAGAGTTGACGACATCATAGCGCATTCACAGGGGATTCTGGACAAAGTTGGGAATATTCTGTTTAGGAAATACAATTTGAACTTTTACATGATACACACTGTTTCACAAGTTATGCCTTCTAGTTAGTTCATCTCCTAAGTTATTAGGGGGGAACGAGATAGTCCTATGTCAACCTGTCACTGAGAGACACACTGAACGTGCACCTATAGTGTGACATGTATACCTACTCGTCCAAGTTGTAATATCATACGGGAGATGCCATCAGCAAAGCAATAACAACAACAAAACTCTTGGTAAAAGTTATTCCGATTAGGAGCCTACGAGATCAAAGTTTCAAAATCAGACGTTTAGTGTGAAATTTGCAAATAATCATTTTGGCAGGATTACCAGTTAAACTAGTTTAAAGGACAGGATGAAAAGACTAGGCCAGGAACTCAAAAAGAGCAGCAACAACACAAGCGATTGGAAATACACTGTGCTAACACCGGAGGACGTCCTACAACTTAACTATAAAAACCTTCGGGACCACTTTATCATGTCCAGTTACGCCACCCTGCTCCTGTGTGACAACCTAGAGACTTGATTTTCCTTACTGGCTTTAAGTTTTCTAGTTGCTCATTTACCTGGATGTTTACACATTTGTATGTCTTCTAATAGCTGAATCCATTTATTCTGCTAGGTCCGCAGAAGCACCTTAAATGTGTTCACTCAGGGCCCTTGATTCCCTGACACTTTGCAGTGGAATCTGATCTCGGATGTGTCTGTGACAAATCTGATTGGCTGGGCTATAAATACAAACGTGTAGAATAGTGAAATGAATGCTCAATTATCTAAAACAACACTGCCTAATTTGATAAGAAGACAAGTGAGTAAAGTTTTCAAAGGTAAAAGAATTTTGCTAGATTTTTGGAAAATAGTAAATATGAAGGTTATATGTATCTCCCTTCCTCCTGCACCTGAGAAATGAATGGATATTTGAAAAAGAAAAATTCAATAAGCAGTAGTCTTTTTGTGTTGCGCATAGGCTGAAAGCATACTTTTTTGATAGTATAAATAACTTGACGTCACAATAAAACACATTCTGTAGGCTTCCTTTATTTTTTATATTTTTTTTAAGTCTTTTTCAGGTATGTGGTTTTTTTTTTTTAGATTTTATTTATTTGAGAGAGAGAGTGAGTGAGAGAGAGCGAGTATGAGCAGCGGGAAGGCAGAGGGAGAAGGAGACTCCCTACTGAGTAGGGAGCCCAATGCAGGGCTCGATCCCAGGACCCTGGGATCATGACCTGAGCAGAAGGCAGACACTTAACTGACTGAGCCACCCAGGCGTCCCTGTACGCTTCCTTTAAACAACTACCTAAATTTTAGTTGACTGATTATTACTGAAGAAAATAGGTAACTTGTCAATTAACTGTTATTTGAATCATTTCTTAAATATAGTATTTTAATGGCAGCTTCCAGTGTTGACATTTTTCCTTCAGCTTTTTTTTCCCCCTTTGGTATCCCTTTCACAAGCCATAAGGAAAAAAAAAAATCCTCTCCAGCCTAAAATAATCTACCTTTTCAAATGTTCACCATTTCTGAAGTAACTCAAATCTATGGTGTGTAAGCAATCTAATTCTCAATTTGAGTATATTCTTAGACTGTTGTCAATTGAGACTGCAAGTACAAAAGCAAAATTAAGTGAGGACAATAAAGTGTTTAAAATAGTGTTTAATTTCTAAAATAACACACATTATTACAACTTTTGCTCTCTCTTTCTGTTACCATTCTATTTCCAACATAATATATACACATATTCCTAATTATCATGTACTCCCATTTCACTTAGCAACACATCTACTAAGATACAGAACTCTGTGTTTTCACGCAGTAAATTTAATCTAAGTTAATTATTTAAACTTTGAAATCACCGATATGCAACTAAAATGCCATCAGCTAATCTTCTTCCTGTTACCTTTAGCAATATGCCAATTGGTTTCTTTTACGTAAATACTGTCTTGAACTGTTTGACTTCTGTTTTTAATGAAACGAATTCTCCTCTTCTAAGTAGGAGTCTGCTATGAACGTAAGTCACCTGGGAGCCTGGCCAAAGTCTGTAGCAGCACAGCTGAAGGGTACAGCCATTTCACAGGGTCCTCTCACAGAGTATTTGGTTTGCTTTCCTAACTTGCTAAAAATAGTAGATTACACAGACTACCTCCATCTCATGGCTCAAGAACTCACAAAAGGCTGGACTATGGATTGTAGGAATACATACAACACACTTAAAGAAGTCAGGATATTACAAGTTTTCCAAATTCCTTCCGTTTACTCTCTGAAACAATACAAATGATCTAGTGGTTATTGGCATGGAAACCTCATAATGCTCCCAAATTTCAGAACTTCAAGCATGAGTCACAGAGTTACCTTAACTGTTAAAATATGTTTTTGATCTATTTTAGTCACAACATTGAATACACGAAGATAACTACCTAAAAGGCAGTAATCTAAATACTGTATTAAAAATCACACAATGTGTTCATTATAAATATGTATCTAAGAAAAATGGTTTTTGAAACATAAATACTTAATACATATTCCAAATATGTTACATGAATTCTTAATTTGGTTATTTCACTAACATTTTAGGAGCTATTGTTCTGGGTATGAACCTCCACCACAAATAAATTTTGTGTTTGTTTTTTTTTCCTCTTATTCAAATCAAAATATTTTACCAAATTTCAGACACCATAAATTAAATTTCAGTTCCTCTTAGAAAGACAAAGAATAAGGACAAAGTTTGCATTGATTAGCTGCGACATTGAGTTCATTTCATAAGTAAATTCAAATGTTGAAATTACTCGTTATTAAAAAAAAGTCCCTGATGTGGCAGTTCAATCTTGTTACCCACACAGCATGTCATTAAGCAATGCTCCTGTTTTACTCAAAGGGAGACTGTTCTGTGTCCACAAGTGAGCAGCCACTAAAAAAATATTTTGAGATGGAAAAATAGCAACTGAATTTTAACATTTCACAATGTTTCCAAATGCTGTGGAGGCAGGTCTTCTGTGAAACCACTCAGTGTCACAGCCAAGTTTAATGTCCTTCATTTTGTAGCTACGAGTGCACCGTCAACTGTCTGTAGGATTAAAAATTGGATTTACTAGTAATTGGGTCAAAACAGGGTTACTTATGGACACAGCTGGCTACTGAGAAGTGTAATTAGCCATTTGCCCCTCATTTTATGGGTCCCCATCTCTAATCACACCTAAATTCAGTCAGCAGGAATTTAGGAATACACATTCACAAAGGTACAATCACTGTGCCCTTCCTTCATCGAAGCCTTTCAAAAGAAAGTAAGAGAAAGGCCCAATGGTAATTTATAACTTTTGGCTTATTGATCTTTATGACTATGACATTAAGAATAATCTAACACTGTAAGATATCTTTGTTGTGAACACCTCCCTTGATATGCTACTCTGAAGATAATATCCTGAGTCTTTGGTGAAAACTTTAGCAAAGTAGGCAGCCCAAGCTGAGCCAAGAAGCAATTAACTGAAACAGTCAACTCATACGTTAACTCATAACACATCAGGGCGAGTTATGAGTTAACATATGAGTTGACTATATTAGTTAATTCACCCCATGTTATTAAAGAAAGCATTTTTATTATAACAGCACTTTTTTTTTCTTTTGCAAAAGACAAGATGGATCTATGAAACTTTTTACTTCTCTATAGATGTAGAAACGAGAGTGACCCCCCCCCACGGGTTCAAAGAATGAATTCCACTGGCACATTAGTATTCAAAGGCAATTCAATTAAACCGAATAAGTGAAAGTACCCAGGAATCTTCACATTTCTAGTCTTGACCTTGCATGTCAGAATAAAGACACATATGCTATCTTTTTAAAAGGTGCATTTTCAAACTTGATACCTGAAACATGAACCAATGACATTTTTGAATGTCAAGATATACTAAAGCAGATCTTTCAGTATTATGGTGCCCAACAAAAGCTAACTTTTAACACTCCTAGCTGAGACTGTTACAAATTTCAAAATAATCAGGGTCCAACAAAATAAACTAAGTTATTTCACATTAAAAGTTTAGGAGCTAAAAAAAAAATCCAAGTAACAGTACTTAAAAGTTTCTACTTATTTATAAAACTCAACATTCAACAAAGTTTATGCCTCAGATAGGGTACTGGAGCAGCAAGAGAACCTTACTTCTCTATCTTCCACAAAATGCCTTGCTTCTGGCCTTAAAAGAATATGCTTATACAATAAAAAGGAAACCCACAATGTCAAAATGTTAATATAAAAAGTCTAGCCAAGTTTAGTTGCCTAGAAATCTGTTCTTTTACAAGCAACGGTACAGCACCTTTACAAACAAGGAAAAACGTATCATCTTCATTCAGCTATTGCCATGGCCTTGTATAATCTGTTTATATGCTAACACACCTATGTATCTACATTTACTATTCCTATAGACATTGACATTGCTATTACTAAGTAAAAAGTATGCTGATACTCTGTTTTAGAAAAAAAAAATATTGCATTAAAGGACTGATGAAGTTATTCATAACAAAGTTTGGCCAGACATGGTTCTATTGATTCTCAATAAAAGTCCCCCACCCCCAAAAACATCAGTAAGAACACACCGTATAACTAAACTATTAACAAAGCAATCCATAATTCCAAACTCAATGGACTAAATGTCCATATCCCCTCTATTCATTTATTGCGTATCCTTAAAATAATATAATATTTACTCACTTTCAATGAATCAAAGCAGGCGATTACTCGTCCATTTTCAACTTGGCAGCTTTTCGAAGGATGTGCAAATTTACATTCCGTGTCTGGCCGTGAGCAAGTTCCCCTTTGGAACTCTCTACATACTTCCAGTGTTAGCCATTTTGTGTCCCGAATTGGTGTGACACTAACAGCCATGTTTAGATTTTACAGGTAGTTAAATTTTTCAGTGAAACCAACAAACCCAACCCCCCCACAAAAAAAAAAACAGCAAAAAAAAAAAAATGCTGAACTGATAAAACTGTAAAATGATGATGAAAATGTCCCCTCCAAAATACTTTTTTCCCACTCCCTGCTTTAAAAGTACATGGAAAATTGTGTTGTCAATATCAAGGAAAAGATCTCCCACTAGAAATTCACAGCATGAAACTGTTAATTCAAAGAGGTTTTGGTATTTAGAGAAATACTAGAATTGTAAGTAGATGAACGTTTAAAAGTAGGGCCTCGAATCAGCCTTGTGCTCTCAGTAACCCCTTCCCAGTGCCAATTTGGAGCCCAAAATGCAAGCATGAAAACGTGGCAGACCCTTTGACACCGAATTTCCAAGCTGCTTTCAGCAAAGTTGTCTGAAAGGGAATCTCCTCACAGCTGAATTTGCAATGGAGTTTGGTGGTGCAATCGGTATTGATTAGTTTGGCATAGACAGATGCAGCAGTTTAGAGCAAATCGAGAAAATGATTTTTTTTTTCCTCCTTGATTTCCTGGCAGAAGAGATCTTACTTTTTCAGCAAACTTTTCTTTTAAAACTAAAGCAGCCTAGGGCAATGCCAGATACTTAGAGCTTTTGTCTTGATTATAAGTAGAAATGGGGGTGTCTGGGCTAGAGGTGGAGGGTGGATGTGCTGTCGTCACAGTCTAGCTGGCAGCAAGCAAGGCAAAAGCAGAGACTGCTCTAGAAGCGGGTCCAAGCAGCAGAGACGTCAGGAAAGGCACTTCTTAGTACCAACCTGTAGAAAAAAGAGATAGGTTAAGATTTACTAAGTAGCACTTCACTGATGCCCTACAGTATCACAACCTTGCCATGTGCTACCAGACTAATATTCAAGTCAGCTTCTCTCCTTCTCTGTCTCTCTGTCTCTCGCTCGTTTTCTCTCTCTCTCTCTCTCTCACACACACACACACACAAATACTTACAGTGAGGCATATTGCAGCCAGCCATCGTAGATTTATTAAAAAAAGGGGCCGTTTCCCCCTGTGAAGCAATGCATGATAGAGAGATAACCAATCACAGATAGTGTTGCAGCAATATTCTGGGCAGAAAGCCAATAGTGTGGGTTGTCTTATGAAAGGTCGCGTCTGTCAGACGTTCATTACTATGCTATAAGCACAGAAAATGTCCATCAGATGTGACTTATTCCACTGCAAGAGGACGAGCATGTGGGTTTTGAATTTACCCAACATGCAGTTAGTGGACTAAACCATGTTAGTTTCAAAACAGCTTCTGAGACAAGTCCAAGCACTTGAAGATCATTACCGGGGAATAAAAAGCAAGGTTTAAAAATTGCAGCTGACTTCCAAGCTGCTTTTCCCTCTGGCTCTGTGCAGGGACAGGCACTGAACAGCCTGCTCCTGCTGTCCTGACACGTGAATAAAAAAGGAAAGGGGTGTTTACAAATGGTACATTCTCCTGACCTATCCAATTCACTTCCTTCTAAAGCCCAAGTCCTGCCCCTCCACTGAAAGCAGCTCTCATACTGTAAAACTATTCCATTCAGCCGGCAGACACTTTGTCAATATATCACAGGCAGGCGAGATGCGAACAAAAGCATCCTTTATTTGAACATTTTTTAAGCAGAAGCTGAGGTCATGTGGGGAAAATAAGGAGTGCAGTGTTGTCAGTGTGTCTGGCAAATCTGAAGTCAACCTCAAGGGGGAAAGTGATTCCATCTCAGAAACATTAAATATTAAGTGAGCAATTGGATTTGGGCAGCATGATGCACTTCAGAGGTACGAACGAAGCCGGAGGTTGGGGGCTGGGGGATCTCCTGTTGCCTGATGATCTATTAACTCTGCACTACTAGGAGACTGCTCCTTACAGGAGGGCATTTTTGCCTCTCACAACTTACTTTCTCTTTCAATCGGGATGGAAAAACTTTCAGAAAATGCTTAGTAGTTACAGAAACAAAAGTACACAGTTTTTTTTTTTTTCCTTTTGAATGTTACCAACAAAGGAAACAAGGCTTTGGTAACTCCAAAAGTTTTGCACTCCAAAAAAGCACTGGCACAATATAATAGTGTTTGATCACACTTACTTCTTCGAAGGCCAAATATGGCCAATTGGCATATGGTACATGTGGAACCATAATCTGGAAACTGGAATACAGGATATGAATATGTAAAAATAGAACCCAAACAGATCTATCTATGGATATCTAGCAGAATTCTTAAAAATTTCTTTAAGGATTAATACTGTCATTCTTTTTTTTTTTTTAAAGATTTTATTTATTTATTTGAGAGGGAGAAAGCACTAGAGAGAGAATGAGTAGGGGGCAGAGGGAGAGGGAGAAGCAGGCTCCCCACTGAGCAGGGAGCCTGACACAGGGCTCGATCCTAGGACCCTGGGATCATGACCTGAGCTGAAGGCAGACACTTAACTGACTGAGCCACCCACGTGCCCGAATACTGTCATTCTTAATACTAATTAAAAACAAAACAAACAAACAAAAAACTAGCAGATACCAGGTTTGGGAAACACTGTAGTAAGACTACAACTTTTGAGAAAGGTTAAAAAGAACCAACTCAGAAATATTTTTGTTTTCAAAACATTTTCTGGTCCTAACTCCCGATTATGTAAAAACAAAAGGCAAGTCGGTCATAAACTCTAAGATTCATCCACCTTCCTGACTCTGCTCTGCACTCAGGATTTCTCAACTACTCCAGGCCTTCAGCATGTACCCATCTGTGTCCAACAATCTCTTCCGTCTTTCTTGCTAGAATCTTCAAGTGCCTCACCTGCAACCATTCACCTCCTTTGGAAGCCAGCTAAGATGTCACTTCCTCCAAGAAACTCCCAAGATGTGACTTTCTCCATCTCCATCCACCCATTTATTAATGAGATCTTTTCTGAATTATCTTTGCACCCCAGTATGGTCTGTTACTCACTTCTACGTATGACCCACTAAATTATATGTCAGAAACAATGTCACTCGTCTCAGAACCCCAGGGCTCAGCACAGTGACGGAAAATATACGGAGCTCCATAACTTCCGTAAATTAAATGATCAATTACTACATCTGGACTGGAATTACCTCTAGGGCACAGAAATACACAAACACACATATGAACACACTCATATAAACACACGTATAACATCACACATGAACCAAACACACGCTCAAACACATACACACACACATACAACCCATCACTTCCTGTATAAATTACTATATTCCTGGGTCACACAGGCCCTCCCACAGCCTAGGAATCCTCCTCCAGCCCTGGACAGCTCCCTCAGACATTCCCCATAGCAGCTTTTCTAAAACTTCAACACTTTCCAGCCCCTCCTCCCTCCTCCATATTCCTCCCACTCGCAGCCTACGATGATCTTCCAGGTCACAAATATCTCACAGTCAAAAGAGTAGCCCTCAGACATGAACTCTCTCTCACCTCCCCACCACCCATCTTTAAGCTTTCTTTCCCTATTTTTCATTTTCGTCTTCCAGTTCTGCCTTCGCTTGCACACTGTTAAGCGTCCACCTCGACTCGCTCCTTCTCAGAACATCCGTTCCCTTTACATTCCCTCTGTCTGTGAATGCCCTGCCTTGTCTACACGCTTTCTCTTAGTCCTCAACCTGCTGAAGTAGCTCTGGACTAGAGGGGGTGGCGTGGCAGGAGGAAGGAGGCCCTGACTAGCTACGCGTCCTTCCTGTCCCTAATGCTCTTCATCGGCTGTTCCAAGACAGATGTCTGAAGAGTCATCTACACGTGCTGTTTTTCTGCTTCTTCAGTTTTGAATCTTTATCAGTGTGACCTCCACACTCATTACTTTACTGCTCAGCGATGGCCATCGATGCTCTAATTCAAGCCAAATTCAAAGACTACGCTAGTCCTTATCTTTCCGTTTCTCCCATTGCTGCCCCTCTCGCATCCTCCCCCATAGAGAGGAGCTGCCAGGAGCTGGGAAGGTTCTTGGCATATGCCATGCCGGTGTAGGCTCCTGGGACTTGTTACATGCTAACCCTTTGTTTGGAGTGACACTCTTCTTCACCCCTTCAGCTTGGTAAATCCCTTCTTGTTTTAAGTTGCTATTCAGATATCACCTTCTCTCCACGGCTGGGCCAACTATGCTAAACATTATTCCATCTCAGAATACCCTCAGTATTTTATAGCTCTTTTGACCCCAAGGTTATAAATCCCCTGACAACAGGGTCTATCACCATTTTTTTTATCCCAGTTCCTGGAACATAACAGACGTTTTCAAAATATTTGATAAATGAATAAATTTTATTCAAACTCACAGGAATAAACATGTACATAAGATTGTATCCCCAAAGGCAAGGAAATAGCTCATCATGATCTATGGGGGCCACACAGTATGAGAAAGGATAATGGTACCATTAGAAATATCTTCATTGGTCGGTGGTTATGTCTAAATACAACCACAAAATCAATATCTAGAGTTGATTATTTTTCCTTTCTGCCATGTTCCAGGCTTAATCTCATTCGGGCACAAAATATACTTTAATTAGTAAAATGCTTGGAAATGGATACTTTGGACATTTTTATTTTCCATAGCACAGATGCTCTATTCACTTCACAAAGGGTTACTGAAAAAATTATAGATACACACATACCTGTAAGTTTAATACTGTTTAATTGTAAAATATACACGCAAAGATGATAATCAAAATGTCTCCTCTAACTAGGCATAGAGACTGAGCAGTCAAAATGGACACCAACTTTTACGCATTGTTAGTGTAGCTGTACCTAGCAATGTGTATGCCAGTCCTTGATATGGGGCACTGGGGTAATGAACAGAGATTACATCTAAATTGCTGAGATCAGATTATTGTCTTATAATCTTTCTCTTTTTTCAAACGGAAGAACTTCAGAGAAGACTGGAAATCTTCATAATTGAGTGTTTTGGTAAATTAAGATTGAATAAGATTTGGATCAATACCGAATTCCCAAAACATTATTTCAGCTGGTAATGGATTTTTATTCTATAGATAGAGAAGGTGCTTAAAAGTGTGTGGGTAATTTCCACATTGTGAGAATTCTTGCAAACATATTTGCCCCCAAAATATATGTTGTTTGTAAATAATTATGAAGGAAATATTTCTACTTGAAAGATACTTACTAACAGCTAAATTGCTTCTGAAGTAAATCTTTTTTTTTTTTAAAGATTTTATTTATTTGAGAGAGAGAATGAGATAGAGAGAGAGAGCATGAAAGGGGGGAGGGTCCAAGGGAGAAGCAGACTCACTGCTGAGCAGGGAGCCCGATGCGGGACTCGATCCCGGGACTCCAGGATCATGACCTGAGCCAAAGACAGTCGCTTGACCAACTGAGCCACCCAGGCGCCCCTGAAGTAAATTTCTGACCTATACTTCAACATATTATAATAAACTTCCCTGCAAAAAAAAAAAAAAAAAAAAAAAAGGACTGGACCATTTAATAGTTTTACAGTAAGACTCAAACTTTTTAAAACTTATATAAAAACAAGCCCTCTTGCACCTATTGATCAAATTCCAAACACTAACCAAAGAGCTCCTCACATTACGTGATATGTTCTACAAATAAGCATGTTCTGCCATAACAACCAAGATGTAATTCTTCCTTGAGTGATATCAGAAATAACATACATTTTCTACTTTAAGATACAAAGGGGGAAATAGAAAGGAAAAGAAGAAAATGTAAAGCTGGAGGGAAGGAAGCTAAGAAAAGAATCAAGGATAAAGTAAGAGTGTGGCAAATTACTAATAATGAGTCTCACAGCAACTAATAT